CTTGCCCTTCTGGTTCCCTCCAAACTTCACATCACCTCCAGATCTAAGTTCCAGGCTTTGGAACATAGACTTTTCTCCTGTCATGTGTCGTGAGCATCCAGAGTCCAGGTACCATGATTGGCGTCCCGACCTTGCTGCTAAGAACATCTGCAACAGGAATTATTTTACTTTTAGGTACCCAGATCTTCTTGGGTCCTTTAGGGTTAGTGGTTCTGGAGGTTTGTCTAAACTTCTGTTTTTCAACATAATGTTTATTCTGACTTGCCTTGGGTTTAAACACATAAGTATTCTTCTCAGAGCTTGTGTGTTTAATGTCATTTAAGTGACCAAACTTAAATTGAGAGTACAGAGGTATCTTCTTGATGAAGAGTTTGTCAACAAATTTTGGATTACTTCCAGAGGAAGATTCATATCCAATACCTCTTCTGTTGTTCCCACTAACACCATAGATCATAGAAGCCATCTTGCTTCTGTCTATGCTCTTAGTAAGAAATCTCTGAAAGCTAGAGTCATATTTTTCTAAAATGTTTTCACATGACTTAGCCTCAGATTCAGATTCTTGTTGAGTTATTTCAAAGTCATTTTTAATTTTCAGATTAATTTCTTTTTGCTCAACAAGTTCTGTCTTCAGAAGATCAATCTCAGATTCAAGACTGCTTTTCAGCTTCTTGTATTTGAGTTTGATATTGTTATAGCTTTTCAGAACTTCTGATAAAACTTTGACAAGTTCTTCTTTAGTAAGTTTACCCATTACCTCTTCAGCATCATCGTCAGATTCAGAATCAGATTCAGATCCTGAAGTTCCTTCTTCCTGATCTTCTGTGCTGGCCATCAGTGCAACATTAACACATTCTTCTTCTGATTCAGAAGATGATTCAGATTCATCTGATTCATCCCATGTTGCCATCAGAACCTTCTTCTTTTTGTTAAACTTCTTCTTGGGGTTTTCTCCTTGAAGTTTGGGGCAATCATTCTTGTAATGCCCAGGTTCTTTGCATTCATAGCATACAACTTCTTTCTTGCCAGATCTTCTGTGCCCAGAAGATTCCTTTCTATGATTAGATTTTCTGAAGTTGTTGAACTTCTTTCCCTTGTGCTTCCAGAGTCTGTTGATCCTTCTGGACAACATGGATAACTCATCTTCTTCTTCAGAAGAAGATCCTTCAGAGCTTTCTTCAATAACCTCCAAAGCTTTAACAGATTTATTAGATTTTAAAGCAATAGATTTAACTTTTTCTTTCTTCTGAGGTTCATCTTCCTCAAGCTCAATTTCATGGCTCCTCAGTGAGCTGATGAGTTCTTCTAAAGAGATCTTGTTCAGATCTTTAGCCATCTTCAGCGCTGTCACCATAGGTCTCCATCTGGTAAGTAGACTTCTGATGATTTTCTTTACATGATCTGATGTGGAGTATCCCTTGTCCAGAACCTTTAGACCAGCTGTGAGGATCTGAAATCTAGAGAACATAGCTTCAACAGATTCAGAGTCTTCCATCTTGAAGGTTTCATACTTCTGGATCAGAGCCAGAGCCTTTGTTTCCTTGACTTGAGAGTTTCCCTCATGAGTCATCTTTAAGGATTCAAACATATCAAATGCAGTTTCCCTGTTTATAATTTTTTCATACTCAGTATGAGATATTGCATTCAATAATATTGTTCTGGCCTTGTGATGATTTCTAAAATCTTTCTTCTGAGCATCTGTCATAGATTTTCTGTCTATCTTCTTGTCATTCCCATCTGTGGGATGAACATATCCATCTATGACCAGATCCCATAAATCAACATCATATCCAAGGAAAAAACTTTCAATTCTGTCTTTCCAGTAATCAAATTTCTCCCCATCAAACATAGGGGGTTTGGTGCTGATTCTGTCCCTTTCTTCATATTTGTTGTTAGTGTTAGATATTGTATTATCAGTCATAGTAACAACCAAATATATATCAAAGTATTTCTCTCTGGATCTTTACTGTCACTGTTAAGTGGCAGCACACACAGAACCGGAGCTCTGATGCCAACTGAAGGTGAGAAAATACTTAGAAGGGGGGTTGAATAAGTATGAAAGATTAAAACTTAGAGTAACAGCTCAAGTATTTTTATCCTGGTTCGTTGAACTCAACTACTCCAGTCCACCCTTCCTAGAGTGATTTGCCTTTCTCAATCAAGGACTTAATCCACTATTTAATCAAACAGATTACAATAGTAACACCTAAGAACAACTGTTCTTAGTCTTCTCAAGAGCTACTGATTCCAACTGAATCCTCTTAAGGAAATCTTTTACAATTAATGTAAAACTATTACAAGAGTAAGAATGTTTCTAAAAAGCTTTTATCACAACTGTGATATTTCTCTTAAGTTTAAGTACAGTGAAATAAGTTCTTAGAAAGAATATGAAATAATGTGAGCTTGAATGTTTTTGATTTCTTTTCAACAAAACGTCAACTGAAGAATTTGGTGGAGTCTTGCTTTTATAGGCAGTTGATCCAATGTGAGCTGCACGTTGAGAAGAGTGTCCAAAAGGTCTGAGCCTTTTTGTCTTCACATCAAGTGACATTTCCTAGAAGAAGAAAGCACAGAAAAATCCTTTTTGTCTGTGTTATTGTGTCTAGCATAAATAAGGAAAGAGACGTTTGATTTACTCCAACGGATATAATCTTTGAATATTTCTTCTTCAGTTTTCAGCAAATATATCAGAGTCTAATTGGGTCAGAGTCTTCTGATGATGATTAGAGTCTTGCTGAATCAGAGTCTTCTGCAGCAGGTGTGCTTTCAGCGTGTTTAATATCAGAGCATATTTGAGACAGAGCTTTAGTACTGGCAGCTTTAGTACTTTCAGAAACTTCTGTAGAAACTATGCTTTGAAAAAGCTCTTCATACAAAATTCTTCTTTGCTTCAGATGCTTCTGACTTGCTTCAGATTCTTCTGGAGCTTCTGCTTTAGATCCTTCTGGAGCTTCTGCTTCAGATTCTTTTGGAGGCTACGCTCAGAATCTTCTGGAGGCAGCAATCAGAATCTTCTAATGTATGCATCTGGCGCTACAGAGTCTAGTTAATTTCTTGAGTTCAATTCTGATTTGCTTCTGGAGTGTTAATTTCTTTACTATCTGCAGTAAAAACTCTCAAGCAAATTTTAGAGTATATAATTCTTAAATACAAAATTTCATTATAGTTATCATCAAAACATAGAGATATTATTAAGAACCAATCTGTGTTCTAACAAGTTCATGTTCAGCACGTTCCGAAAATACATCTCCGGACATTGCATAAGTTTTTTCAGCAAAGTTTCATGATTAATGTGACCGATGCAGAATAAAATGAACAATCTTACCTGGAATTCGATATTCTTTTATTCCTTATGATATGTTGAACCAAAAGGATGGAGATTTGGAGTGAAATATGAGATTGAGAATGTAACGTTTTTAGGGTGAGGGTTAAAGTTGAAATGAAGAATATCAACAATGGGGGTACTGATCATGCAGTTTGATACTATATCAGATACTTCTGGAGATATATCCCGAAACAATCTGACATGCAAAGGTGACAAAAAAATTCAAATTGCCGCTCACATCTTTTGGAGATATATCTCAGAAACATCCAATGGACTGATTAATTTCATCCACTGGATTGATATATTTTCAAATAAATCCTTAGCAACTGTATGGGATGTGCCATTCAAAATGATCTTTTTTAAGTGTAAAAATGATGCGTCCGAAGATATATCTCCAAAAAATAGAGACGGTATTATAAATCTGCATGTATTTAAGAAATACATAGAATGGATTAACAAATTCTCATTTATTTTACAATCCTTCTTTAATCATTTTTGTGCATCAAGTGGTTTCATGTCCTTAAAATTGGCTATGTTCATTATTTTAATAAAAAAATTAAAAATATAACATTTTGGACTTTACTATTTTTTAGTGTGATATTTTAGAAAAAAATTTCAAAAATATATAATGGTATGAAAGATTCACAAAAATAGTAAAGACACCACTAACTATTGGGATATGTAGCATGATAATTTAATGAACTTTTAGAATATTTAGGAGTTATCATTATGACCCACCGCTACTGCAATCTGCATGTGGTCAAAATCAAAGACCATAAAGAGACCTGGCATCTTAATTTCCACATTGGCTTCTACTCTATCCATTTTAAGTATCCTGTTAATAATTGTTTTATTTAAACTATATGATGTCTTAAAAAATATTAAATGAATTGATGTTAATGATAAAATTTATTCCTTTTACTAAAATATTTTTGTTAATTGCAATCGAATAAAGTGAAAGTTAATAATAATTAAGAGAACAATTATGAGCAACTAAACAATTATGATTTATAAATGTGATAAGTAACTAATTATTTTTTCAGCTTTTCTTCAAGAATAGGATTGCTCAATGACAGCTTCTAAAGTTATTACATCATTCCCTCTTTTTTCTTTTTTTGCTAAAGAAACTAATAATAACAATATTTTCACTGTCCTTCTAGAGAGAGAGGAAAGCCGTGAAATCGGGTGGTGACGGAATCACGGTAACTTCCGAACAACAACAACAACAACGTTTCTGTTCTGTCTTGCTTCAATTTTCCTATGTCGGATTTGTAAGTACCAGGTAGTTCTTGTCTCACCTTGAGTGCCAACTTGATGCATGTTGTTAAGTGAAACAACATAAATTTATAATTGTCTTAAACAACTTGTTTATTTCTTGGTTCTCACTGGATCTGGTTTATTGTTGTGTTATAATATGTAGAGTTCATATATCTGGTTGGTAGTACAAATTGGCACTCAAGTCAACTCATGATTGTTGAGTCAAGAACGGTTGCGGTCGCATAAAGGTTTTTTCAATTTTGATCGGTACAGGTGTTGTACTAATAGCTCGTTGCAATATGAATTAATCATAATTTATTCTTTATCGTAAAAACGGAGAACAGTATCGGTATCGATGCCTTCAAATACTGTTTTGTTGCTGCCGTTTTTGTGATAATAGCAGTTGAATAATTCTACTAAAATGGGTCAACAAGTTTTCTCCTTATTTCATCTTGAAAGAAAGAAGCTCTTATGCTTTATTATTATCATTACTTTTGCAATCATTTTAGCATTCCAATATTTTGAGCTTCCTTATGGTTACATTCTAGGACCCTCTAAATTTGCTTCTGAAAAAACATCAACATTATCAAATACTACTATAATTCATCAACCTGCAGATTCACCTTCTGCATCTGAAATTTTTGAGAGTGTTGCCCTTTTGAATCAAACATATTCACAACATCCTTTTGAAAATGTTAATGAAACTAGGTTGCATGAGGAAAATGATACTATGTTCAACAATTCATATCCTAGTTTTCATTCCCCTTCTCCTAGTCCTGCAATTGCGCCAACAAATTTGACTCCTACTCCTGCAAGTCCTCCAACAAAAATGCTATCAAATGATTCTGAAATTGCTGATTCTATGAATGATGAGAGGTTCAAGCCATTACAAGACGATGATGTCAATGTAATTAGCAGCAACCAGTCTTCTGTCACAATTTTGCCTAAGGAGATGAGTGGTTCTGTTATTAAAGTTCCAGAGACGACATCGATCTCGGATATGAACAAGTTATTGCTTCAAAGCTATGCTTCGTATCGATCTATGGTATATACAAGTCAATGTAATTTGTTTTATTAATATTGCTTATTCTTGTGTTCTTTTCTTATGTTGTTAACTTGTGTTTAGCGGCCAAGATGGTCTTCAGCTGTTGATCAAGAGTTACTACAAGCTAGACTTGAGATTGAAAATGCACCACTTGTAACTGATCTTGGAAACCTTTATGCTCCCCTTTTTCGCAATGTTTCCATGTTTAAGAGGTATCGGCTCGTTATTATTGTATATTTTGTTTCAAAAATTGTTCAGAAGTTTAATGATACTATTGTCTAATTATCAGGAGCTATGAGTTGATGGAAAAGACTCTCAAAGTGTATGTATACACAGAAGGGTCTAAGCCGATAATGCATTCGCCATATCTTTTGGGAATTTACGCTTCCGAGGGATGGTTCATGAGGCTGATGGAAGTTAATAAAGCATTTGTTACTAAAGACGCGAAGAAGGCGCACCTGTTTTACTTACCTTTCAGTTCTCGAATGCTTGAGGAAACATTGTACGATCAAAATTCGCATAGTCACAGGAATCTAATGCAGTATCTAAATAACTATGTAGACATGATTGCTGGAAAGCATCGGTTCTGGAACAGAACAGGAGGCGCTGATCATTTTCTTGTGGCTTGCCATGATTGGGTATGCTTTTATCAATTCAATGGATCAGTTTTTTCTGTGTCAGTTTGTTAAGGCTTTGTTCGGTAAAAATAACTGATAGCTGATACCGTAGCTGGTAGCTGATAGTTGATAACTGATATCTGATAAATTGAAAATTTTGAGATGAAATTACACAGAACCTATAATTTATGAAACTAAATTGATATACCAGTCACCCTTTTTGGATTGCATTATGCAGGCACCTTCCGAAACAAAGCAGCGGATGGCGAAGTGCATAAGATCTCTATGTAATGCTGATGTCAAAGAAGGTTTCATGTTAGGTAAAGACGTGTCACTTCCCGAAACTTATGTCCGCAATGCTAAGAATCCAACCAGAGACCTCGGTGGAAAACCACTTTCAAGGAGGAAAACTCTTGCCTTTTTCGCAGGCGGTATGCACGGCTACGTCCGTCCAATTCTTCTACAGCATTGGGAAAACAAAGATCCTGATATGAAAATCTTCGGTATGATGCCAAAGTCAAAAGGAAACCGGAACTACATCCAGTACATGAAAAGTAGCAGGTATTGTATATGTCCAAAGGGATATGAAGTTAACAGTCCAAGAGTTGTTGAGGCTATCGTCTACGAATGTGTTCCGGTTATTATATCGGACAACTTCGTGCCGCCTTTTTTCGAGGTTCTGAATTGGGAATCATTTGCTGTATTTGTTTTGGAGAGGGACATTCCAAATTTGAAGAGTATTCTTGTTTCCATTCCAAAAAAGAGGTATCTTGAAATGCAGATGAGAGTGAAAAAAGTGCAACAGCATTTTCTTTGGCATAGAAGTCCTGTTAAGTATGATATATTTCATATGATACTTCATTCCATTTGGTATAATAGAGTCTTCACTGCAAGAACTAGATAAAATCATTTTGGAAATTCTTTTACAATTTTTATGTAGAAAATTTAATTTTTCTGTTGAAGTTTGAAATATAGTGCCTAGATATTGATTTATTATGTGATTTTATTTATGCCTACGAATAATTTTGGAAATTCTTTTACAATTTTTATGTAGAAAATTTAATTTTTCTGTTGAAGTATGAGAAATTTAGTGTCTAGATATTGATTTATTATGTGATTTTATTTATGCGTACATTCATTAGGTTTTTGTTATAAATAAATTTCTAAATATTATTCCATGTGTTGATTTGTAATTTAATTGTGGTGTCTTTGAATCAAATTCTTGAATATGATGAGATAATTATGCGTTGTTGAGATAACTATAAGTGTTGAGAGAATAACTCATATAGTTGAGATAATTATGGGTATAGATAATTGTTTGTTGAGGGAAACTAGGGGTTATGATTTTAGATAATCTAAAACCTAGTATTATATATATGACTTATAACAATGTAATTTATATGCAATTTGCAAGACATAAATAAAAGGAACTATAACTATTTTATAATCAGAGACGTATGCAATTTGGCTGAACTACGTGAACAAAAGTTTTGTGTGTTTCTCTTTATTCTGATATGTATTTGCGTTTCTCTTCTAACAATTGGTGTCAGATGGCGCTTAATTCGGGAGGTGCGGAATTCGAAGTGAATCGGTTCAACGAAACAGTCAATTTCGGTTTATGGCAAAAGTGGGTTAAGGATTTGTTGGCTCAACAAGGTTTACAGAAGGTGCTTCATGATGAGAGACCGACAAGTATCACAACCATTGATTGGAACGAGATGAAGGAGAAACCTGAAAGTTTGATAAGAATTTGCGTTTCTGATGATGTGATGAATCATATCCTGGACCTCATTACTCGGAAGGATGTTTGGGAAAAATTGGAAAATCAGTACATGTCCAAGATGCTCATGAACAAATTGTTTGCGAAGCAACGTATATATAGCATGAAGATGCAGGAAGGAGGCAATTTGCAGGATCATATTAATGCTTTCAACAACATCCTCGCTGACTTTACACATCTTGGTGTAAAGGCTGTTGAAGAGGATAAAGCCATTATTTTGTTGTGTTCTTTACCAAACTCTTATGATCACTTGGTGACCAATCTCACATACGGGCAGGAAATAATCGCGTTGGATTCTATTTCTTCTACTCTTTTGAAACATGCACAACATCGCCAAAGTGTAGAGGAAGGTGGAGGAAGCTCAGGTGAAGATTTATTTGTGAAGGAATGTCAAAATCGTGGCAGAGGCAAAGGTAAGACAATGAGTTCTAGAAAGAAAAAGAGATTAAAGTCCAAGTATAGAAAACAACAAAATTTTATGGTTGCATGCAAATTGGCCATTAGAAGAGGGACTGTCAAAACAAGTCAGGAAACAATAGTTCAACAAATGTAGTTCAATCTGATAACTCCTGTAGTGAAGAGGATTTGCTTTACGTTTCATCTACAAAGTGCACTGATGCATTGATTTTTGATTTTTGGTGCTCCTACCATATAACGCCACACCAGAAATAGTTCAGCTCTTTTAAATTAGGTGATTTTGGGTTTGTCTATTTAGGTGATGATAAAACTTGTACCATCACTAGAAAGGAAAAAGTTAAAATTTATTTGGATGATTGTGGCGAGCACACGTTGAGTGAGGTGTGTTATAATACAAAATTGAGGTAGAATTTGATTTCTATGGGTAATTTTCAAGCAAATGGTTATTCATTCCAGTCTGTTGGAGATAGAGGCATCATGAGGGTTAGCAAGGGTGCAATGACAATGTTGATAGCAAGGAGGACTACATGCAACATTTATAAGTTATTAGGGGGCACAATTATGGGTGACGTAGCATCTGTTAAAACTGATAACGATGCAACCAAACCGTGACGCATGCGCTTGGGTCATCCGAGTGAACATGGGATGATGTAACTACATAAGAGGAATTTGCTGAAGGGTATTCACAATTGCACAATCGTATTGTGCAAGTATTGTATTCTTGGGAAACAATGTAGAGTTCATTTCAATACTAGGCAACACAAGACCAATGGAATCTTAGACTATGTCCATTCGGATGTCTAGAGTCGTACAAAAGACCCCTCTATTAGAGGTTCCATGTACTTTATGACATTCACTGATGATTTTTCTCGTAAGGTCTGAGTTTATTTCATGAAATATAAATATGAGGTATTTTCCAAGTTCAAGCTATGGAAGGCGGGGGTTGAGAACCAGGCATGGATAAAAGTAAAGTATATGCGGTCTGATAATGAAACTGAATACACAAATGGTTATGTGAAAAATAATATTTTTCTAATGAACCATTTAGAAATGCAGACTTTATATCTAAATAGTTGAGGAAATAACTCCTGCTACTAGCTATTGTCATACTCAGTCTTATTGTCTCAAGTATTGCCACATGAGCAAATACCTTATTATAGACATTGATATACTTGTGCAGAAAACCTCTAGCCACCAACATTTTCTTATGTCTTTAAAGTGTGCCATTAGGAATTATCTTCACCTTAAAGATCCATTTTACATGAATAATTCTCTCTCTCTCTCTCTCTCTCTCTCTCTCTCTCTTTCTCTCTCTCTCTCTCTCTTGTGTAAATCAACTAGCTCAAGAATGTAATTCTTCTCAATTGACTTGCGTTCCTCCAGCATGGCCTCTCTCTAAACCTTACTCTTCATCTCCAACTCTAATCCTTTTTAGGAATTTTCATCTTCAACTTTTTTGGTGGAGCATTTGTTTATTTTGTAAGTGGATGTGTTGACTGCTTTTCCCCAAAACATATGAGGCATATTCTTGTGCTTTAGCATCATTTTGTACATGTGAAGTATGATCATGTTCCTTCTTTCTGCTAGACCATTATATTGAGGAGTATGTAGTGATGTAACCTCATGTCTTATGCATTCAATAATGGAAAGAGAATCAAATTCCTTTAAGGTATACTCTCCACCACCATCAATTCTCAAAACCTTTATTATTTTATTACTTTTCTTCTCAATCAAGGTTTTGAACTTCTTGAACACTTCAAGAACTTCACTTTTGCATTTAATTTTATAAAACCACATCATTATTGTATGTTCATCCCTAAAAGTGATGAAATACTTGCTCTTATCTAGTGATGATACTTCAAAAGGTCAACGTATATCAAAATGTATTATTGACTAAGTGACTTAAAACATAAGAGGGAGATGAATTGTGATTAATTTTTCTCGAAAGCTTGAAGGTTCAAAAGGATTTTCAATTTAATTTTAAGACAAGTGTATAAAAATAAAGAAAATGACAGATAAATGATTACGATAAAGTAAAAACATTGGAGATAAAGAAGGAATGCACCAGATTTATCCTGGATTGCCTCAAAACCACGGGGTTTACGTCCACGCCCCAAAGATAGCACCTTAATATTTCCACTTTCAACCAAAATTTTATCATAGATTCATTCCATAATCTCTTACATTAAGCTTTTATCTCAGGTTCAACTTGCAATCTTTATACTTATATAAGTTCAAGAGAAGAACTTTCTCTTTGTTTTACAATGCATATCAGAACTACATCAGCAAAATACACTATTTACTATATAATAGTTACTCTATAAGCATTAAGATATATGAAAATTATAACCCTCTAGTTACACATATTTTTTATTTATTTTTAATTTAGTAAAATAGTTTTCATCATGGTTCCTAATAATAATTATGGTCATAGAATATAGGTAACAATCTTCGAATCTCAGCATCAATATTTTATTTTTTATTTTTTTAATAGAGCGATACATGAAGATCTTTAAAGGACATATGAAGAATCATCACTGACCGGAAGCCTCAATAGTTGAAAGGTACATCATAGAAGAAGCTGTTGAGTTTTGTTCAAACTATTTGTCGGAAATAGAGTTTATAGAAATTCCAAAGTCTCTTCATGCTGACAGATTTGGATATAGAAGTACTTAAGGTTTAAATGTTAAGTTAATGGTTCAGGATGTAGTTCTTGAAGCACATTTCTATATATTAAATAATCTTAGTGAAGTTGAACCCTACATAACTACTCACAAAACATTTATAAAGAAAAAATATCCCCAAATGAATGACAAATGGTTGTTGGCAGAGCATAACAAGAAATTCATAAGTTAGTTTAATAAGAGAATTTCTAATGATGATTGTCTATCTGTGATAATTAAATGGTTGTCGTACATGTCAAAACTGAATGTGATAACTTGGACTGGATGTGATGTTACTAACTTTTCCTATTATACAAAAGTAAAAGATGATCGTAGTTCAATGCAAAATAGTGGGGTTATGGTTGAGGCCGAATCCATGTATTACTCTAGTTTGAAAGATAAGAATCTTATTTTGGCAACTAGCGCATTCTATGATGTTATTGAAGAGATATTGAAGATTGATTATGTTATTTTCAAAGTGTCTTTATTTAAATGCAAGTGGATTTTCAATAACAATGGTGTACAAACTGAAGTTATGATTCATATGGGTTAACCTTGGCAAGGAAACTTATATGACTGAACCATTCATCATGGATACTCAAGCAAAACAAGTTTTTTATGTGACAGACCCTTCAGACTTATCAAGTAGATGATCAATTGTGTTTCAAGGAAAATACATTCCTCATAGTGATGGAAATTTTGATATTCCTTCCGCTCCTTCTTACGCAACACAAGTACCTACTTCATATGAAGAATATAAATGATGTGCATGATATTCGTACCGCTCATCAAGAAGGCATATCAAAAAATTAATAAGGAAGTATTTTATACTTTTCATTCATAATTTATTGTAAGTTATAATTTTTAAGATTATTTACTAACAAATATTATTATTTGAAATTATAGACGTTTAAAGTTATGACACCAAGAGACAGGACATAAAGACACAAAAATACTATTATTTGATGTAATGATATGTAAATTGTAGGCTGTTTTGTGCCATTTTAGTTTTTATGTAATATATAATTTTTGGTTCTTAATTCA